AGTCCTATGGCTTTATTTCTATGGTGAGATCCATAGGAACCAAAGACATACAGCTGAACTTAGGAACAAAGTCTTATGTTCCTATAACTCCTATGTTCCTATGATGAGATCCAAAGGAACGAAGCTCGATGTTCCTATGACATTATAACGTCCTATGTCTTCTTTCCTACGTTTCTGTGACTCCTTATGTTGAGATCCATAGGTATCAAAGAGATACATCAGAACTTAGGGACAAGTCTTAAGTTCCTGTCACCCTATCTTCTTATGTTGAGATACACAAGAACATATGACTCCTATGTTTCTATGTTGAGATCCATAGGAACCATGAGATCCATAGGTATCAAAGAGATACATCAGAACTTAGGGACAAGTCTTATGTTCCTATCACCCCTATCTTCTTATGTTGAGATACACAAGAACATATGACYCCTTTGTTTCTATGTTGAGATCCATAAGAACCATGAGATCCATAGGTATCAAAGAGATACATCAGAACTTAGGGACAAGTCTTATGTTCCTRTCACCCCTATCTTCTWATGTTGAGATACACAAGAACATATGACTCCTTTGTTTCTATGTTGAGATCCATAGGAACCATGAGATCCATAGGTATCAAAGAGATACATCAGAACTTAGGGACAAGTCTTACGTTCCTGTCACCCCTATCTTCTTGAGAAACACATGTTTCTATGTTGAGATCCATAGGAACCAAGCCCTGTGTTCCTATGACTTCATTCCTATGACTTCATTCCTATGTTGAGATCCATCGGAACATAGGAACAAATGTCGAGATCCATAGGAACCGAGCCCTGTGTCCCTATGACTTCATTCCTATGTTGAGATCCATCGGAACATAGCAACAAAGCCCTATCCTCCTACGACTCCCATGTTTCTATGTTGAGATACATGAGAACATATTGCTCCTATGTTGAGACACAAAGGAACCAAAGAGATACATAGGAACAAAGTCCCATGACTCCTATATTCTTAAGTTGAGATATATAGGAAACAAAGACATACATCAGAACTTAGGAACAAAGTCTTATGTCCCTATCACTCCTATGTTCCTAAGCTGAGGTCCAAAGGAACAAAGCCCAATGTTCCTATGACATTATAAAGTCCTATGACTTCATTCCTATGTTCCTATGACTCCTATGTTCTTATGTTGAGATCTATAGGAACCAAGGGATCCATAGGTATCAAGCCCTGTGTTCCTATGACCTTATAAAGTCCTATGACTTGATTTGTATGGTGAGATCCATAGGAACCAAAGAGATACATCAGAACTTAGGAACAAAGTCTTATATTCCTGTCACTCCTATCTTCTTATGTTGAGATACATAAGAACATATGACTCCTATGTTCCTAGGTTGAGATCCATAGGAACCAAGCCCTGTGTTCCTATGACTTCATTCCTATGTTGAGATCCATCAGAACATAGGAACAAAGCCCTATCCTCCTATGACTCCCATGTTCCTATGTTGAGATACATGAGAACATATGGCTGCTATGTTGAGACACAAAAGAACCAAAGAGATACATAGGAACAAAGTCCCATGACTCCTATATTCTTAAGTCGAGATATATAGGAACCAAAGACATACATCAGAACTTAGGAACAATGTCTTATGTTCCTACGACTCTTATAGTATGTTGAGGTACATAAGAACACATGGCTCCCATGTCTTTATGTTGAGATCCATAGGAACCGAGCCCTGTGTCCCTATGACTTCATTCCTATGTTGAGATCCATAGGAACAAAGGAGATCCATCGGAACATAGAAACAAAGCCCTATCTTCCTATGACTCCCATGTTCCTATGTTGAGATACATGAGAACATATGGCTCCTATGTTGAGACACAAAGGAACCAAAGAGATACATAGGAACAAAGTCCCATGACTCCTATATTCTTAAGTTGAGATATATAGGAACAAAGCCCTATGTTCCTATGACTGTATTCCTATGTTGAGATACATTGGAACAAAGGAGATCCATCGGAACATAGGAACAAAGTCTTTTGTTCGTATGACTCCGATGTTCCTGTGTTGAGATCCATAGGAACGAAGTCTGATGTTCCTATGACATTATAACGTCCTATGACTTCATTCCAATGCTCCAATGATTCGTTATGTTGAGATCCATAGGAACAACGTTCTGTGTTTCTATGACTTTATAGAAGTCCTATGACTGTATACCTCAGTTGAGATACATTGGAACCAAGGAGATACATAAGAACATTATAAAGTCCTATGACTTCATTCCTATGTTCCTGTGACTCCTTATGTTGAGATCCATAGTAACCAAGAGATCCATAGGTATCAAGCACTGTGTTCCTATGACTTTATTCCTATGGTGAGATCCATAGGAACCAAAGAGATACATACATCAGAACTTAGGAACAAAGTCTTCTGTTCCGTGACTCCTATGTTCCTATGTTGAGATCCATAGGAACCAAGCTCCATGTTCCTATGTTGAGATACATAGAAACAAAGGAGATCCATTGGAACATAGGAACAAAGTCCTATCTTCCTATGACTCCCATGTTCCTATGTTGAGAACATATGACTCCTATGTTGCCATAGTTCCTATGTTCTTGAGATCTATAGGAACAAAGTCCTATGTTCTTATGACTTTATAGTGTCTTATGACTTTGTTCCTATGTCGAGAAACATAAGAACATAAGAACATAGGACTGTGTTCCTATGGTGAGGTACATAAGAACATATAGCTCCTATGTCCCTATGTTGAGATCTATAGGAGCCAAGTCTGTATTCCTATGACTTTATAAAGTCCTATGATTTTATTCATATGTTGAGATACATAGATATATAGGAACAAAGTCTTATGTTCTTATGTTCCTGTGTTGAGATGTTTCTATGGCTTCTTTCCTATATTCCCATGACTCCTATACGTTGAGATCTATAGGAACCAATCTATGACTGTATTCCTATGTTGAGATCTATAGGAACAAAGTCCTATGTCCCTATACTGTTAAGTTGAAATATATAAGGACAACGTCTACGTTCTGATGACTCCCATGTTCTTACTTTGAGATACATAAGAACATACAACATATAGTAATAATGATAATAGATACATAGTCTCATTTGGGGAAATAAAGTGGAGTATACATAAATATAATCATATCATATCATATCATATCATATATAATAATGATGATGGTGATGATGATAATAATAATAGATGCATAGCTGCTTTGAGTGCCCTTTGGGGAGATACAATAATAATAATAATAATAATAATAATAATAATAATAATAATAATAATATAATATTATATAGATAGATAGATAGATAGATAGATAGATAGATAGATAGATAGATAGATAGATAGATAGATGCATAGTCGCTTTGAACACACTCTGGGGAAATAAATAAATATGATCATAATAGTAATAGTAATAGTAATAATAATAATAATAATAATAGACGCATCTGCATTGGGCACCCTTTGGGGAGATAAAGCAGGATATAAATAAATATAATAACAATAATATAATATATAGCAATAATGATAATAATAGATACATAGCTGCTTTGAGCGCCCCTTGGGGAGATAAAGCAGGGCAATAATATTAATATTAATATTAATAATAGATGCATAGTCGCTTTCAGTGCCCCTTGGGGAGTTAAAACAGAGTATAAATAAATATAATAATATAATATATAGAAATAATGATATATGCATAGCTGCTTTGAGTGCCCTTTGGGGAGATAAAGCAGGGCATAATAATAATAATAACAACAACAACAACAACAACAACAACAACAACAACAGATACATAGCTGCTTTGAGCTCCCCTTGGGGAGATAAAGCAGTGTAATAATAATAATAATAATAATAATAATAATAATAATAATAATAATAATAATAATAATAATAGATGCATAGCCGCTTTGAGCACCCTTTGGGTAGTTAAAACGGAGTATAAATAAATATAATAATATAATATATAGTAATAATGATAATAATAGATGCATAGCTGCTTTGAGTGTTCTTTGGGAAGATAAAGCAGGGCAATAATAATAATAATAATAATAATAATAATAATAATAATAATAATAGATGCATAGCTGCTTTGAGCGCCCCTTGGGGAGATAAAGCAGTGTATTATTATTATTATTAATAATAATAATAATAATAATAATAATAGATGCATAGCTGCTTTGAGTGCCCTTTGGGGAGATAAAGCAGGGCATTAATAATAATAATAATAATATAGTAATAATATAATAGACGCATAGCTGCTTTGAGCACCCTTTGGATAGTTAAAACAGAGTATAAATAAATATAATATATATAGTAATAATGATAATAATAGACACATAGCTGCTTTGAGTGCTCTTTGGGGAGATAAATCAGGGTATAAATGCAATAATAATAATAATAATAATAATAATAGATGCATAGTTGCTTAGAATTAAAACAGTATAAATAAATATAATAATAATAATAATAATAATAATAATAATAATAATAATAGACACATAGCTGCTTTGAGCACCCTTTGGGGAGTTAAAACAGAGTCTAAATAATAATAATAATAATAATAATAATAATAATAATAATAATAATAGATGCATAACCGCTTTGAGCGCCCTTTGGGAGATAAAGCAGGGTATAAGTAATAATAATATATAGTAGTAATAATAATAATTTTTAAAACGACACATAGCTGCTTTGAGCACCCTTTGAGGAGTTAAAACAGAGTATAAACAAATATAATATATAGTAATAATGATAATAATAGAGCCATAGCTGCTTTGAGTGCCCTTTGGGGAGATAAAGCAGGGTATAAATAAAAACACTAATAATAATAGTAATAATAGTAATAATGCTAGGACTCAAGTGGAGGCTTCTCCTCCTGCCTTCCCTGTTTTTTGGGGGGGGAAGGACCCCTTGGGATCCCCTTTTCCTTTCCCTCTCCGGGTGGGGAGTTTGGGAGTCCTTTTGGGGGGGCTGTGGGGGCCTCCTTACCTGCTGGGGGGCCTCTCCTCCTCCTTTTCTTCCTCCGCCGAGAGGCTCTGCAGGCGGCGCGCATCCCTCGCCTGCGACCCCCTTAGTGACCCAACGCCTTCCTCACAATCGAGGAGGATGATGATAGGGAGGATGATGGGGAGGATGATGATGGGGAGGGCGCCGTCCCCCGGGAAACGCCGCCTGAGGCTCCCTGAAGAAGGGGGGGGGGGCTCAAGGAGAAGGAGGGCACCGCAGGCACTTTGCTCCTTCTCCCTCCTCTTCTTTCCTCCCTTCTTCCTCCAAAACCAGTTCTATCCAAAGCACAAAAGAGGAGAAGCTTGGGAAGGAGAGGCTTTGAGGCCAAGAAGAGTCTTCTTCCTCTGCAGTTCCTTAAGGGTTTCCTTCTTCCTCCTCTTTGCTCCCTTTTCTTCCTCTTCTTTCCTCCCTTCTTCCTCCCAAACCAGGTCTATCCAAAGCTCAAAGAGGAGAAGCTTGGGAAGGAGAGGCTTTGAGGCCAAGAAGAGTCTTCTTCCTCTGCAGTTCCTTAAGGGTTTCCTTCTTCCTCCTCTTTGCTCCCTTTTCTTCCTCTTCTTTCCTCCCTTCTTCCTCCCAAACCAGGTCTATCCAAAGCTCAAAGAGGAGAAGCTTGGGAAGGAGAGGCTTTGAGGCCAAGAAGAGTCTTCTTCCTCTGCAGTTCCTTAAGGGTTTCCTTCTTCCTCCTCTTTGCTCCCTTTTCTTCCTCTTCTTTCCTCCCTTCTTCCTCCCAAACCAGGTCTATCCAAAGCTCAAAGAGGAGAAGCTTGGGAAGGAGAGGCTTTGAGGCCAAGAAGAGTCTTCTTCCTCTGCAGTTCCTTAAGGGTTTCCTTTTTCCTCCTCTTTGCTCCTTTTTCTTCCTCTTCTTTCCTCCCTTCTTCCTCCCAAACCAGGTCTATCCAAAGCTCAAAGAGGAGAAGCTTGGGAAGGAGAGGCTTTAAGGCCAAGAAGAATCTTCTTCCTCTGCAGTTCCTTAAGGGTTTCCTTCTTCCTCCTCTTTGCTCCTTTTTCTTCCTCTTCTTTCCTCCCTTCTTCCTCCCAAACCAGGTCTATCCAAAGCTCAAAAGAGGAGAAGCTTGGGAGGAGAGGCAAAAACAAGAAGTGTGGAGGTCAAAGTGAGCCTCCTTCCTCTGCAGTTCTCCAAGGGTTTTCTTCTTCCTCTTCCTCTTTGCTCCTTTTCCCTCTTCTTCTTTCCTCTCTTCTTCCCCCCAAACCAGTTCTATCCAAAGTACAAAAGAGGAGAAGCTTGGGAAGGAGAGGCTTTGAAGCCAAGAAGAGTCTTCTTCCTCTGCAGTTCCTTAAGGGTTTCCTTCTTCCTCCTCTTTGCTCCTTTTTCTTCCTCTTCTTTCCTCCCTTCTTCCTCCCAAACCAGTTCTATCCAAAGCCCCAAAGAGGAGAAGCTTGGAAGGAAAGGACAAAACAAGACGCCTCAAAGCCGACTTGGAAGAGTTTTCTTCCTCCTCCTCCTCTTTGCTCCTTTGCCCTCCTCTTCTTTCCTCTCTTCTTCCTCCCAAACCAGTTCTATCCAAAGCTTGGGAAGGAGAGGCAAAAACAAGAGGTGTGGAAGTCAAAGTGAGCCTTCTTCTTCTGCAGTTCTCCAAGGGTTATCTTCCTCCCCCTCTTTACTTCTTCCTCCCAAACCAGTTCTATCCAAAGCTCAAGGGAGGAGAAGTTTGGAAAGAGAAGCAAAAACAAGAAGCGTCAAAAGCTGACTTTGGAAGAGCCTTCTTCCTTCCTCTGCAGTTCTTTAAGAAGAGTTTTCCTCCTCCTCCTCTTCTTTCCTCCCTTCTTTCTCCCAAACCAATTCAATCCAAAGCTCAAAAGAGGAGAAGCTTGGGAAGGAGAGGCAAAAACAAGAGGTGTGGAGGTCAAAGTGAGCCTTCTTCCTCTGCAGTTCTTCAAGGGTTTACTTCTTCCTCCTCTTTCCTCCTTTTCCCTCCTCTTCTTTCTTCCCTTCTTCCTCCCAAACCAGTTCTATCCAAAGCTTGGAAGAAGAGGCAAAACCAGGAGGCGACTTTGGAAGAGCCCTCTTCCTTCCTCTGCAGTTCTTTAAGAAGAGTTTTCTTCCTCCTCCTCTCCTCCTTCCTCCTCTTCTTCTTTCCTCCCTTCTTCCTCCCAAACCAGTTGTATCCAAAGCTCAAACGAGGAGAAGCTTGGAAGGAAAGAACAAAACAAGAGGCGTCCAGGGCTTTCTCTCCTCCTTCCTTTCCCCTCCTCGTCCTCCTCCTCTATTCTTCCCTTCTTCTTTCTCTTCTTCCCTTTTCCAAGGAAGGGAGGAAGGAGAGTGTGTGTGCCTTCCTCCCTTCTCTCCTCTTCCTTAGGATGATTCTTATTTATACCCTGCTATTCTTTTCCTAAGGAGGCTGTTTACCTCCTTTCTTCCTTTCTCCTTCCCTTCTTCCCAAACAGATTCTATCCAAACCGAGGAGAGGCTCGAAATGCGCCTTTTTCCTTCCTCTCTCCTTCCTCCTTCCTTCCTTTCTTCCCAATCGGGGAGGTTGATCCTGGGGAGTCTTCTTCTTTCTCTTTTCTCTTCTTCCTTCCTTCCTTTCTTCCCAGTTGGGGAGAAGAAGCCTTGAGGATGAGGTTGATCCTGGGGAGTCTTCCTTTCCTCCTCTCCTCCTTTTTCCTTCCTTCCTTTCTTCCCAGTTGGGGAGGAGAAGCCTTGAGGTTGATCCTAGGGAGTCTTCTTCTTCCTCTCCTCCTTTTTCCTTCCTCTCTTTCTTCCCAGTTGGGCAGGAGAAGCCTTGAGAATGAGGTTGATCCTGGGGAGTCTTGCTCTCCTCCTTTTTCCTTCCTTCCTTTCTTCCCAGTTGGGGGGGAGAAGCCTTGAGGAGGAGATTGATCCTGGGGAGTCTTCCTTTCCTCCTCTCCTCCTTTTTCCTTCCTCTCTTTCTTCCCAGTTGGGCAGGAGAAGCCTTGAGGCTGAGGTTGAACCTGGGAAGTCTTCCTTTCCTCCTCTCCTCCTTTTTCCTTCTCTCCTTCTTCCTCTCCTCCTTTTCCTTCCTCTCTCCTTCCTCCCTTTCTCTTCTCCTTCCTTCCTTCCCAGTTGGGGAGGAGAAGCCTTGAAGAGGAGGTTGATTCTGTGGGGTCTTCCTCTCCTCCTTTTTCCTTCTCTCCTTCCTTCTCTCCTTCTTTCCCTTCTCGGAGGAGGAGGAGGAGGTTTGGGCTCTTCCTCTGCGGCTCCTCTCTTCCTCCTCTCCTTCTTTCCTTCCTTTGCAGCAGCCTCTCCTCTCTCTTCTCTCTCTCTCTGCTTTCCTAGGAAGGCTCCAAAGGCAGGTCCAGCCCGGGTGCCCAAGGCGAGAGGAAGAAGAAGAGGAAGGAGGAGATTTGGAGGGGGCTCCTTGCCTTCATCGCGGCCCCTCCGGCGCTTCTCCCTCCTCCTCTTCCTCCTGATGCGGAGAAGAAGAAGAAGGAGAAGGAGAGAAGGAGGAGAAGCAGAGCCGGCGGCAGAGAGGACGAGCAGAGAAGGAGGGAGGGAGGGGGGAGAAGAAGGGGAGGGAAGGAGGCGGCCTCCTGATTGGATGCCTCGCGGGGAGCCCCTCCTCCCCTCCTCCCCCCTCCCCCCCTCTATTGCGCTCTCATGTCATCCCTCCTTCCTTCCTCCCTTCCCATCTTTCTTCCCTTCCCATGCTCCCTTCTCTTTTTCCTTCCTTCCTTCCTCCCTTCCCTTTCCACCTTCTTGTCCTCTTTCCTCCCTCCTTTCTATCTTTCTCTCCCTTCCTTCCTTCCTTCCTTCCTTCCTTCCTTCCTTCCTTCCTTCCTCCCTTTCCTCCTTTCTTCCCTTCCCATCTTCTTTCTCCTTTCTATCTTTCTCCCCTCTCGCTCCCTTCTCTTTTTCCTTCCTTCCTTCCTTCCTTCCTTCCTTCCTTCCTTCCTTCCTTCCTTCCTTCCTTCCTCTCTTTCTTCTCTGGCTCCTAATTCAGACTCCACTTTCCTCTTTGCTGTCTCTCTCCTCCCTGGGGCCTTGTATCCAGCCCAGACAAAGGTTCAGGGAAGCGATCTTCGCTTCCTTCCTACTTTCCTTCCTTCCAACTTTCCTTCCTTCCTACTTTCCTTCTTTCCTACTTTCCTTCCTTCCTACTTTCCTTCTTTCCTACTTTCCTTCTTTCCTACTTTCCTTCCATCCTTCCTTCCTTCCTTCCTTCCTTCCTTCCTTCCTTCTTTCCTTGTTCCCCTTCTTCCTACTTTCCTTCCTTCCAACTTTCCTTCCTTCCAACTTTCCTTCTTTCCTACTTTCCTTCTTTCCTACTTTCCTACTTTCCTTCCTTCCTACTTTCCTTCCTTCCTACTTTCCTTCTTTCCTACTTTCCTTCTTTCCTACTTTCCTTCCATCCTTCCTTCCTTCCTTCCTTCCTTCCTTCCTTCCTTCTTTCCTTGTTCCCTTCCTTCATACTTTCCATCCTTTCTACTTTCCTTCCTTCCTTACTACTTTCCTTCCTTCCTACTTTCCTTCCTTCCTACTTTCCTTCTTTCCTACTTTCCTTCCTTCCTACTCTTCCTATCCTTCTCCCTCCTTTCCCTCCTTTCCCCTCTCTTGCTCCCTTCCTCCCCTTTCCATCTTCCTGTCTTCTTTCTTCCCTTCCTCCTTTCTAGCTTTCCCCCTCTCCCTTCCGTCTCTCTTTCCTTCCTTCTCTCCTTCCTTCCATCTTTCCTTTTTGCTTTCTTTCCTTCTCTTTTCTATCCTCCCTCCCTTCTCATTTCCCTTCCCTTTCCATCTGCCTTCTTTCTTCCCTAGTTCTTCCCTTCCTTCCTTCTATCCTTCTCCCTCCCTTCTCTCTTTCCTTCCATCCCGCCCTTCCTTCCCTCCCTCCCTCCTTTCCTTCAATTCCTTCTTTCTTCCCTACCTCCCTTTTCATTTTTCTCCCCTTCCCATCTTCCTTCCTTCCTTCCTTCCATCCATCCATCTTTCCCCTCGCCTTCTTTCCCTTTCCATCTTTCTTTCTCCTTTCCCATCCTCTCCCTCCTTTTTTCTATCCTTGCCCTTCCTTCCTTCCTTCCTTTTTTCTACCCTCCCTCCCTTCCTTCTTTCATACTAATTTTCCATCCCTTTCCATCTTTCCTTCCTTCTGTCTATCTATCCTTCCTTCCTTCCTTCCCTCCTCCTCCTTTTGTCTTTCATTCCTCCCTCCCTTCCTCTCTTTCTTTCCTTCTGTCCTTTCCTTCCCTTTCCATCTCCCTTCCTTCCCATTTTCTTTCCTTTCCTTTATTTCGTAACAACATCCTTTTTTTCTTTTTGTCCTTCCTTCCTTCCTCCCCACACCCTCCCTCCCTTTCTTTCCTGTCTTCCTTACCTTTTCCTTTCTTTTTCTTCTTTCTTTCCATCTCTTCCTTCCTTCTCCTTCTTTTCTTCCTCCCTCCCTTCTTTCTATCATCTTCCTTCCTTCTTCTTTCCTCCTTTCTCATTCCCTTCTTCATCGTCTTCCCCTCCTTGTCTCCCACTTTTGAAATAAAGAGAATGGACCCCCAAAAAAGGATGGACTTCTGACTCTAAATGGCAAAACTCGAGGCCTCCCATTGCCTGGAGCCAGGGCAGTGGCTCCAAAGTGCATCCATTCCACTGTGTGGATGCGCATGGGAAGAGGCCTATTTCAGGAAAGGCCACAAAAAGGCCAAACAGGAAGGGGAAGCCGCTGCCTCTGGCCATGGCCGATAAGCAAGTGCCCCAAACAGGAGCCGCTGCTGACAAGGCTTCTTATCTCTTGGCAAAGGCACAGACGTTGCCCTCAAGCGCTGCCTGGTGTGCTTGTCGGTTGGAGTCGCACATCAGAGCCCAAAACAACAACTTTGGAGTCCAAACTGACCCTTTGTGGCTCAGGCCTGTCTGGCTGAAATATTGGAAAGGATGCCCAAAGGAAGAGGGAGGCAAGTGGGCTTGTTGAGCCTCCTCCTGGAAAGTAATCAATATAACAACAACAACAACAACAAATTGCTGCTGCCTGGAGACTAGGCATCTATAGGTTGGGCTAGATGGCCCTTGAGGATCCCTTCCAACTCTAGGAAACTAGGGTTGCATCATCATCATCATCATTATTAAACAGAGGCTGGCTGGCCATCTGTCGGGAGGGATCGGATTGTGCTTTTCCTTCTTGACCTAAGGAGGTTGGACTAGATGACCTTTGAGGGTCTCTTCCATCTCTAGGATTCTATCATTCTATTATTATTATTAATAGTATTATTATATCATTCTATTATTATTAATAATACTAATACTAATAA